TTCGTTTCAGCGGACCGGCCCGAACCCAAGGCAGTCAGTCGAGAAGCTTGGCGAAAGATGGTCATGGTCTTTGCGGACCAGCTTCGGGATGAGAAGCGGCAGTGCCTTCGGAATGCTGTGGCCATTTGCATTTCTATAGACGACAAAAGTACCTGGTCTCCTTCCTGTATGCAAGTTCTTGTTCGTCTTGTACCAGGTCTTTAATTTTTCTCTGGGCTCTACCACGGAAAGTTTTCGTGCCCCAAACACAAAGGTCCTTGGCGGGATCTGTCATACCAAGCGGCCTTCGAGGACGGCACGGTCCGGTCTGGTGTGGTTCGAGCACTTAGACTACATTCAGTTCATGATCAATTGAACTTAACTGACTCCTCACTCGGAAACCCTGCACTTGTGAGGGTTGTACTTTAACTCGGAGAAAAGGATACAACAATAAATACAGAGTAGACCTATCCGAGGTGACCTTGCTGGGCGAGGATGGTCTGAGTAAGGATGCCGTCGACGACGACAAATGCAGGCAGATGAAAGACTCCGTCTTGCAAGGCTTCAAGGACTTCTGTACCAGCAGGGGGGGCTGCCTGGACGAGGACTTGTTCGCCCACATCAAGCAGGTCATCGTGGCTTGGGCTAGTGACAGGTGCCCTGCGGTCATGAAGGCCGCGAGAATGCTCAGGGAGGACTGCCCGAACCTGGACTTTGTCTACAAGGACCCCTGTTACGTCCTCCGGACTGTGGCTGGACTTGTGTCCTCGGCCTTCGAGAAGGCCGAGGCCGTCCTTTTCGAGGACAGACACAGTGTGGTCCCCTCGGTCATGAACTCCCACGAGTGGCAGGACAAGTTTCTGTGGCTCCAGAAAGTGGTCTTAGAGCACGGCCACTTCGCTGGGGCGCTCAAGGTTGCGGTGCGACACTTCAACTTTGTGCGGCCTCGGTGGGAGTCCACGGCCTGCCCTCGGCGGCGCATGGCCCACCTGGTCGTCCCCACGGCCTTGGTCCTGGCCTTGACTGCGGCGGACCAACGGACGGACTCTGTGACGAAGCGAAGGCCAGTACGGTTCTCCGTTTCGTTGGTGTCCGGTGAAAGTAGCCCGTGTGTCCTGTAATTTTCTTGGACAGGATGTTGAGCTTGCTGGACTCCTTTCGGCCTGGGCTGTTCCTGGAGCTGGGCCTCTCTGCGGATTGGGGCGAGGAGTTCATCAAGGTCGTCCGGACTTTGGAGCCGGAATCGTACGACCCGGCAAACCTGGCCGACGATCTGAGGACTTGGTTTCGGCGGCAGAGGGCTTTGTTCCAGGACTTGAAGGTCTTGGACGAGCTGGACGACGTACCAGAGAAGCAAAGCTGCACGTGGCACGTCGTCAAAAATGCCATGTCCTGCCCACCGCTGACAGTGGGGGGCCGATCTTTCCAGCTCTGGTCTTCGGCCCGTGGCGACAAAGAGGTCTTTCAGGCCACGGCGGAAAGGCTGAGCGACCTGGTCGAAGCAGCGATCGAGCGGGTCCAGGCTGAGCTGCTGGACACTCCGCAATGTGACTGGCAGTGCATGAGCATGAAGAAGTGGCATGCAAGCCTGGGCATGGACTTGGACGAGGCAGACACCTTCAAGAAGCTCCTCCGGTTTCGGTTTCGCCGCCTGTGTCGTCTGTCACATGTGAATGAGGACCACGGCACTCGGCAGTTTTTTCAGATCATGCCTCTCCTCCATGCGGAATTCCTGGTTTTGAAAGACAGGGGCGAAGAAGTGGACAACCGGAAAGTCTGGGCACTGATCTTCAAGGAGAACATGGGCCAGCGGGTAAACCGGACTGGGGACATCTCGGAGTTACGTCCCTTTCGCAGCAGGAATCATTTTATCTTCTTCGGGTCTTCTGCAGGTC